CAGCCCAGCTCCAGGTTGAGCTGTTGTTCAGCATCTTAGCTGTGGAGGGCAGTGTCACTGGCCCTCATATGTGGGATCTGAACCGGGGCCCTCTGGGGTCCCAAGCCAGTTCTTAACCATCGCGCCACTCGGCCGACCCTGGTCGGCAAACTTTTGAGACAGAAGAACCAATCCTGTCCCTCACAACAATTTAAAAATTATTCGAGGGCCAGCTGAGTGTCCTGTTGGTTAACAGTTGGCTTGGGACGCCAGCTCTGAGCAGCAGGCCCCCTGGTTGGATCCCACATGAGGGCCAGTGACGCTGCACCCTCTACAGCTAAGATGGTGAACAGGTGGAGCTGGGCTGCCATGAGTCGCCGGCGGTTGGCATAGGCTGCAGTGGGGCTGGCTGGCAGCGGGAGTAAGCTTTCGTGAGCTGCAGTGAGCCGCTGTCCAATGGCTGGCGAGCGACTACCTCACCCAGGAAGAGCATAATGATAATACCAACATGGGCCAGTGAAGCGATGTCCTCCACAACTAGACTGAAAAACCAAAGGATAGCAACTTCTCTGTTCCCCTCCCCCAATAAAATCTTAAAAAAAAAATTTATTCGAGAGCCATAAAACAAATGAAATCACCATTATGTGAATAATATCCTTTAAAAACTTTATAAATGAAACTATGATAGTTTTATTATCATTTTCAATTTTACTTCAGAGCCACATGGACGTACCCAAAAAGCCGCATGTGGCTCGTAAACCGCAGTTTGCTGACCCCTGAGCTATATGATCTCAGGCAAGTTACTTAAGCTCTCTGGGCCTCAGTTCGCTCATCTGTACAATGGGAATAATAACACTGCCCTCGTAGGGTTGTGTTGAGGATTAGAGAAAATACAGGTAATGCATTTTGAGCAGGCTTTTCAATATTATTTTTTCCAAATAAACAGTTCAATTGTCACTTTTTTCACAAAACTTTCCCTTGTGAGCTTATTTATCCCTTGGCTTCCAGGCAGGACACCACCTTCTCTTGGTCCTCTTGCCTCCAAGGCTACCTCTTCTCTCTACATTCACCTCCTAAGCGAGCTCACTTAGATGTCGTGTGCTTTTAAGTACCTTAAAATATCATTTATGAGCTGACAGTTCTCAGTTTATCACCATCTCCAACTTCTCCTCCCAACTCCAGACTTCCATATCTGATTACTTATTTGCCGTCTCCATTTAAATCTCCAATAGATAACCACAAACATAACTTGCCCCAAACCGACTCCTATGGCTCCTGAAAAGAAACCCTGCCCCTCCTACAGTCTTCCACAGATCAATAAATGGTAAATCATTCCGGCGTGGATCAAGCTAAAAATCTTCACACCATCCTTTCTTCTTCTCATGCCCACTACCAATCCATCACCCAAAACCCAGAATATGATTCTTCTTGCCACCTCCATGCTCCTGCCCTGGTGGAAAACACCTTAATCTGTCTGCTGTGTGACCTCAGGTTATCTCTTCTGGTCTTCTGTTTTGAGGATTAAATGAGTTATTATTTGTAAATTGGTTAACAGTATCCAGCACATAGGAAGTCCCATGTAAGTGCTTTTTAAATAAATAAAAAATGCCTTGAATACAGAAATAGCTTTCTAACGGACCTAGTCCCCCTACAGTCCACTCACAACACAGCAGCCTCCTGAACCTTTTCCAGCCCAGGCCAAGTCCCGTCACTGCTTTGCACCTCTCTGATCTCAGCTCGCACTGCTCTCCCCTTGCTGAATCTGGGCCAGCCACCTCAGTGTCCTTGTTCCGTGAATACAGCAAGGGCTGTCCCCATTGGGGCTTTGCCCTGGCTGTTCCTGGTGCCTCCCTCTAATCAAATGTTACTAAGTTAGGCCTCCCCTGGCCCCATTTTAGTAACCTGCCTGCCTATTCTCTCACTCCGATTTTTCTCCACATCTCTAACCATCTGACACTTTACTTAGTAGCTAATTGTCTCCCCTCCAACATTAAGATATGCAACAAGGTGGACTGTTTTGTTCATTGCTCTCTCCCTAGAGCCTAGAACAGTGCTTGATATGCAGCAGGTGCTCGCTAAATAAATACTTACCAAGTGAAAAATAATTCCTAAGTGCCACTCCCTTCTCTGAATTCCCAAAATACAGGTCTGAATCATTCTTGTGTAACCCACTCATATCAATTTTTATGCCAGTGGCAGGTTTTACTTGACTATGAGCTCCCTGAGGACGGGGCCTGGCTCCCGGTAACAATTCCTGTCATTTATGCAACACTTTACAGGTTACAATTCCCTCACAGGTGGCCTGATTTAATGCTCACAAAAGACAGCAAGCAAGTCAGGGAAGGCAGGCCTAGCATTCTAGGTCTCCTGCCTTCTAGATCAAGCTCACATATTTGTCAAAGAGGAATAAAGAAAAATAATTTCTGAGTCACTCAGGAGTGAAGCAGCCCCACTGGACAAATGGGCTGGTTCTCTGGAGCACATCCTAAAATACTCAGACTACCTAACATGTACTGAAGCCCAGTTTTCTAATCCCTACCTGTGTCCTCCTCACAGCTATCCTCTAGCTCTGAGGCCATCTTTAGGTCTTGTTCACCTCTGCTCTCTATTGGTGTCTCGAACAAGGCCTAGTATATAGTAGGTGCTCAATGAGTGTGTGGCCCGAGGCTCTTTTTTTTTTTTTTTTTAAGAGATCGGTCTCAGGTGCAGCGACTTGCTCCAGGTGCCACACCTGGCTAGCGGCAGCGCAGATTTCATTACAGGTTCGCTCACTACGCTTTCCCCAGGCTGGGCTGGGCCCGTGGGCCGCACTAGTTCCGGGTCCGCCGCGGGGGGTGAGCGCGTGCACCGGGTGGGGCGGGGAGGGACTGACCCCTCCCAGCCCCAGTGCCTTCCGCATCCCCGCCCGGGAGGCCCGCGAGCACGGTTCCTCTGCCGCCACCCGCTTCTGCAGACCCAGAGCAGGTGGTCGGGTCTGCGTGGGGCAGAAGCCCCCTCCCAGTGTCAGCCCCAATGCCGGCGGGTGCGCCACGCCGGGCTCACAGCCCCGGCCCGGCCCGCCCACTCCGCCGGCAGCCCGGCCCGGCCCGCCCGCAGGCCCCGCCCCTCACTTCCCCGATCGGCGCTCCTCCCCCCGGCGCGGCGCTCCATACTTGGCGATCGCCGCGGCCCTGCGCGCTCATTGGCGGAGAGCCGGCTGCGTGGGGGGCGGGCCCGGGCCTGGCCGGGGCGGGGAAGGAAGGTGGCGGCGGCCCGGCGCGGGGGGAGGGGGGCGCTGACCCGGATGTTCACTCCTGGGCACCCGGGGAAGTGGAAGCGCCGGGCCCTGCTGCTGGGGGGAGAACCACAGACGCCGGGACCGGGACCGCCGCCGACGCCGCCACCATGGTAAAGGCCCGACGTCACCTTCCCCCAGCCCCGGGGGCTCCGCCGGAGCCCACGTTCCCCTGCCCCCGCCGACCCCCGGCTCGTGAAGGGTGGGCTCCCCCGGGTGGGGGAGGGGCGGGGTCCGGGACCCCAGGTAGACACCATTCCTGCCCACTCAGGAGGGGTCTGCTGGCCCGGGCGGCTTGGGTGGGCAGCGTCCCGACTTCCCTCTCCCAGACCCCGCCCTTGGCTCAAGCTGGAGCCCCACTCTCCACCCCTGGGTCCAGGCTAGTCTCCACAGCCCGGGCTAGACGCTCCTGGACCCGTTGGCCGGGCCGGGCACCCCCTGCGGGGACCCAGGCTTGGCCCCCATTTCTCCTCCTCATGGCCTGGGCTAGGTCCCTTTTCCTCGTTCCTACGGCCCAGGCTAGGCTGTCGTTTCTCTCTCCCATGGCCCAGGCTAGGCCTCTGTCCCCCGCCTCCATGGCCGCAGTCCGGACCCCCGTCAACTCCTCCTCCAAGTGGACTCAGCCTAGATTGGTTTCCTGTCTTCCGTGGCTTCAGCTTGAACCTTCGCTTCCCTCCCTGGTCATAAGTTTGGGCCTCCCCTTCTCCGTCCATGCCCCCGCCTGGACGTCACCCCCCATCCCCCCATGATCCCCTTCCCTGGACTCCTCGCCACCCTGAGAGGAGCCTGCGTCGACCTCCTTCTGTCCTGGGCTTTCCCTTTCCTCCAGGGCGCTGCCCCCTGTCCTGACCCGCCACCTGGTCCCCGTCCCCTAACCAGGGCGAACCTTCTTGGCCACCTGTGGGAAGCTTCCCACCCCGGGGTGGCGTCGTCCCGAGGCTGTGCCTTTTCAAGTTTGAGGGTTGCCCCTTCTGGGAGCGAGCGAGGGAAGGGCCGGCATTTGTGGCCGGAAGGCAGCGCGGCGCTCTGCGGGTCCTTCCGCGGCCGCATCCTCCGTGCTGCTGTGGGTGCTTGCGGAGCGTCCTCCCGAGCTGCCAGGGTCTGAGTGGGAGCGGAGTGATGAGGGTGGGGGCGCCGACAGGGCAGGGATGAACGCACAATCGTTCGTGTGAGGCCGCAGACCTGGGGGGGTCGGGGCGGGGTGGGGGACAGGCAGTAGGCCCCGAGGCCAATACACGGCCTGGACGCGATGCACCCCAGCAGGCGCAGTCTCCCTTTCCCTCTGAACTGTCAGCTGGTGAGGGTTGGAACTGCTGATTATGGAGGTGCCTCAGATCAGGTGAGCCGGACTCCTGGTGTTTGTTTTGGTAATGAAGGCAGGTGCTCTCTGGGCACTCTTAACCGGCCTGAGGTTTCACATAGCCCCACACACAGGAGTCTGCACTGAGGTTGGAAGGGCCAAGGACCCCTTGGAGAATGGACTGACAGTTCAGGCTCTCCACCTGCTCCTTCCACCCAGCGTAGGCAGATGTTTATAGGTGGACTTTGGACCCCAAAGGGTTTTGAGGATCTTGGTTCCTTGTTTGATGAAGGGATGTTGCTGCTGAACTAGGGTGACTAATTCAGACTATCAGGGTTTTTTCTTGATGCCTTCCTGCATATTAATTAAAAAGGTGGCCAGTGCTAGTTTTCATGCTATTGGACTTCTCTCTATTGGCTGAGAACTGGCAGCAGGGTGGTGGTGGTGGTTGGGAGGAGGGTGGCCCAGTCCTGGGCTTTGGTGGGACAAGACTTCCGGACAGGTTTGGGTGAAGACTTTAAAAGTGGAGTGAGGTTTTGTAAATTTGCTCTCAGGGCAAAAGCCGAGTGTGTGTGTGTGTGTGTGTGTGTGGTGGTGGCCGCCAAGTGGAGCTGCTCAAGGCAGGTCTGGCTGGGAGGGGTGTCTTGGCTTGGCCCTGGGCACCTGATTCTCCAAATGTGATGGGAAAGTGCCTGTAATGACCCAAGAGGAGCACAATACACAGGAAGCTTCGTAAGAGCCCTGCATCGGGTCTCATTTGGACGATCTGAAAGGATTATGGGAGGGGTGGAGGGAAAGGGCTACCATTTCTTGAGGGGCTGCTCGGTGCCAGGCACTGTGCTGTGAGCCTCACCTATATGAAGCTCATTTAATCCACACAAAGCCTTTTGAGATGTCCGCATCGGACAGGTAAAGAAGCTGAAGCCCAGGGTGGGTGGAATAACTTACTCAGGGTGTTGCTCAGTCAGTGGGAGCACACCTGGCAGGCTCGCAACCTCGTTCTCCCCATGGCCCCAGGCCGTTAAGTGTGGGAAGGACACCGCTTAGAAAACATAATAATGGGGTACTCGGAGATGGCAAGGGAGGAGCAGCGTTTACATTCCTCCGCTTTACCAACTGAGCTATCAGAAGAAGCACAGGAGCAGCGTTTACTGACTGGATTGTGTGCTGCTGAGTCCTTGGCGTAGGAGACGTCCTTAGTGAAATGATAGTATGGGAATGCCTGGACCAGACAGACCATGAGCCCTTTGATGGCGGGGATTTTTGTCTTGTGTTTTCTTTCTATGGCTTGAAGGAAATGGCTTAGAGTGCTCACTTTTGGGGTGTGTCTGTGTTCATGAACTTAGTAGCCATTTGAAGTTCACACTCATTAACTTGTTCTTAGTATCCCCTAGGCTGATAAGTAATTTCTGACTGCCTGTTGTCAAATTTATCCCCTACTTGAATACTCTTAATAAACTGTGGAGATAGTTGGAGTAGGACAGAAACAGTGGTGTAGGGCTGCAGCATAGGTAAATGAATTAAGAGCACTGTGATTTGATGATAGAGAAAACAGCTAGCTCTCAGTTATCCATGGAGGGAAATGGCAGACTGAGAATCTGAAATGCATTGGACATTGGAGTAAATGCCATGATTTTTGTCGGCATCAGTTAAGAATACACAGACAAATGGAATTTATATGCATCCCCCTTGCGGGATCTAATCCTACAACTGTCTTGTAAGTGCTTTACAGTTTAAAGCACTTTTCCTTACACAGCTCTAGCTTCTAAGTTAGGAGTTATTATTCTAACTTAGAGCTCGGATGCTGGTGCTGGGGCTGTAGCAGTGAAGGGACAGGCTAGGAGGCCCCCTCATGAGTTGTCCCTCCAGCTCACAGATGCCTGACAGGAGCTGATGCGCCTGTCATGCCTGTCGTATTGTTACAAGGTGAAACAATGTAGTTGACACTAATGTGTCTTGGCTGGTCTCCTGGTGCGGGTGAGATACACGGCTCAGCTCAGACCCCTCACATGTACATATAGCCCTGTTCATTTAAACCCAGCTGGCCTCTCTTTGGTGGAATGCTTGAAAAAGCAGCCAACGATTGAAAGCTTGAGATTAGAGAGACGGTAGATCATACGTTTGAAAGCAAATATTCCCTGTTTACAACTCGGGCGTCCTGTGTGTCTGTTACAGTCTGTGGGGGACGGAAGAGGACAGATGACTGACAGCACAGAGAAACGGTGGCGGGGCGGGTACAGTGACCACGGAGTCCTCTTTCCCAGGTGGATTAACGTTTGCTGTTAGGTAGATGCAGAAGTGAGTTAGGAAGGCACCTGAAGCTCCAGGGTAACATTCATTCACCATTTATTTGTTAACTGCCTTTGCTGCTTTATGTGCCAAGGACGCAGTGATGAGCGAGACAGCCAAGGGTCCGCGCCCTCGCAGCTGGCATTGTGGGGGCTCGGAAGGGGCATGTTTAATGTGCCTACAGTTTAAGGAGGAAGAGCCTTGTTTAATATAATTGCAAGCACATTTGCATGAGATGTGGCGGGAGACTTAAGAGAAAGCTGGGGCCTGTGCCAGGCTCCGTCCCCGACCTTTTGGCGTGTGCCTGCTCTTGTCTCTGCCATCACCGTGGACGTGAATGGCCCTGCAGACCAGAAGCTCCCCATCCAGGGTTGGAACCTCGTGGTGCCCCGGGAAGTCCTGCCCTTCTAACCTGGGCCTGTTGTGATCCAGAAACGTGACTTAGACGTCCCCTGATCCCCTGCTTTACTTAGAAGGAACCGGAAGCTTGAGAAGCTGAGTGATAAGTGTAAGTGGCCGGCCTGGGACTCAGACCGGGGTCCAGCTGGGCCCTGTGCGGGACACTCACTCTATTTCTCAGAGACAGTGAGCAGTGGGCCCGTAGGTATAGGGCCTTGTCCCGTTTCTCCTTGCAGCAGATCCCACCAATGAGAGTGCCTTGTGGAAGCCCACAGGACGCCAGTGTGAGATCCACCCGTGTTAGGACCAGCTAGGGCAATGCTGTTTCCAAACCTAAGCTCTCACGGACCTTTCAGTGTAGGGAGGTGGAGACTTGCATTTAGGTGGCACCAGCCGTGCGCCGTGCACTCTGCTGGGAACTTTAGCCTAGTGTCACCTTCTCACAGCAGCCCGACCAGGAAGATTCAGCCTTGGGAATGAGGCTGCATAATAAAAGAAGTTAGGACTCAGGAGCCAGACTGCCTTGGGATAATAACAGTGCCTCCTGATGAGGAACTGTTTGTGAGGGAAGTGCTTCTCACAGCATCTGGCACATAATTACATAAATACTACTATGACCATCACCATTGTACAGATGAGGTTCAGAGATATGTGGTTAGTCCCTTTAGAGCCAGCTTCTAAGTGGGGAAACTGGGTTTCCTGATTCCAGAGCTGACCCCTTTCCTGCACGCCTTACTGCCCCTGAAGGCTTATTTGACGTTTGCTTGGCTTTGGGCTGTGCCTTGAATGAAGAACTTCCCTAACTGAACCTGAGGCTCTTCCCCACAAAAGACGAGGCTCCCTGTGTACTGGACCCCACCTGCTGCCATCGCCTGATGCTGGATCTCAGATCCAATGTGGCACGTCTGTGCCTGGTGGAGCCCCTTACGAACTGAGAGCCCTCACCCTCCTCCAGTCTTGGAAGAAGAGGGGCAGGACTGGGGACAGAACATGTGAGCCCTGCGAGAGCAATGACCTTGTGTGTTTGGTCCCCACTAACTGCCCCACACCTTGTGCGGGCCACCTGGTACCTGATAAGCGCTTCACAAACACTGAGTGAGTGGTCAGAGTAGAAAGGTGGCGCGT